TAAATTTATCATTCTTTTGTTTTAAACAGCGGTTTAAAAAGTCGTAGATAACTTAAAAGTTAAAAAACGAACACATTTTCCGTTTGAACCAGATACTACAGGCAGTTACATTAAAGACTTCGCTTTGTGCATGTTCTAGTCTCTCTTTCACTCCCAAGAAACCTCTCCAAACGCATTTCATGTAAAACTCTTTCCAATAAAAGCAGAAGTACTTAAGCTTTCCATTCTGATAGAAAGAGAATGCTGCAGCAAGCAGCATATAATACGTTCCCTTTTGATTACAAATTAAATCCTTATGTGAATTATGTTTTGAAATAATCAATGTTAATTTATTTTCGAAAAATTTCATACTTCAATTCTTGAAAAGAAAACTTTGACACTCCTGCTGATTCTATTTTGAATAAATATTTATAACTTATTAGATTTTTTTAATTATAGCCTTAAATAGAATCACAATCACTTTTTATAATTTATTAACATCAAGAGTAAAAGATTTGTTTTTTCATTTCAACGTTTTCCACAACTCTCCTTCAAAACTTAATCTTATTCAATTGTTACAGATATTCCAATTTCTGTAAACTGTACAAATCTTAAAGAAAAGACTTTCTAAAGTCTTTCGGATTTAAAATCTATCTCCGAACTTTAGAAACTATAATATAACTAATTGTAAACCTATCATCGTTTGATCTCAAAATTAAAGCAAAAACATACACAGAACAGTTAAAATTAATTATTACTGAATTATCTGGTAACAAAATTACTCGTGAAATGGCGATTTAGAACACAGTAGATTTTCGTCACATACATTGCCTTCTCATCAGAGTTTAAAATCACATCATAAATCTCGCAAAAACCGTGAAACAAAGATTTTGAAACGGAAAAGTCGTTTTACTTTAATTAAGGATCTAAGTTTTAATTCGTGAAGGAGAAATTTCCAATATGCAGTCACCTCTGGCATATACTTGTGTCGCATGACCTAGAAAATGCCACGCAGCCAAATATTGCAGGAGGAAAATTGTACATTCCACTTCGTGAAAATAATATCAACTGGCAATATCAGACTTACTGGTAAATAAGTAACAAGCGGTTGCAAAGATTTTTCATCAAGGAAATGGCCTGGCCATTCTGTGTAACGGTCAGCCGCTAATCAAAGGGCCTTTAAGGCCACAGTACTTTGGGTGATGGTAAGAGGGAATGAGTAATTGATTAGGCTGTTTCACGGTTCATCTGACCTCGTACCTGACATTTGAAACGCGGTTTTTTAGGCAACCATGCCGGGCAATCTTGATTCTTATTTTTCGTTGAAAAAAAAAAAAATGAGGATACGTAATGTTGGAACGATGAAAATGATGACTGAGAATTTATTACAATGTTTCTCTTTGTAAGAAATCTTTATTGTAAGAAATTTACACACCAAGGTATTTCAAAAGTATAATGTTGACAATGTATTGATACTCATAAGTGCCGGGAATGTTAAAATTAATAAAATATACTTTTGTTTTATTTGATTGTTTTAATTCTATTTAATCTATTAATGTATAGAAATTTAAATAATATCATTAAGGATTCAAAAAAAAAAAAAAAAATTGAAGACAGTCAATGAAAATCAAAAGGAAATTAAATATTACCGGAGAGAAAAACACTGATAATTATATTTAGAAGTAACAGATGATCATTCCAAATGCATGATTCAGACTTCATACATTGAAAATCGAACAGCTCATAGACACGTATTCTTTCTGAGAATTTGTTCACTTCGTAGTAAAGTATGATCTGAATCAAAAAATTAATATGCAGTTGTAGCTATCCTGTGTATTGTAACTTTTGAAAAAAAAAAAAAAAAACAATTAAATATATACTTATAATAATCTTCCACAAGCATAAACAGGGTTGTAAGAAAAAATTCTCATTAATGA